ATTGTGTTATGTGATTGTTATGATTTTAAAAAGAGTTTTCCATATTTTTTGAAGCAAAACATACCCAACAACTTGATATTTGCCAATCTTATCTAACCACAAAGTTTCTGAGATTTTCCCAAAAAGGAGTATATTTTTTGCTTATGATAGCACAAAGATCCGTAAACAAATAAGTAATTTAGAGTTTTCTTGTGATTTATTGTCATAGATGATTTTATAAAAATTACATAAATTCTGCATAGCTTACATTCATAAACCAACTTATCTCTTTATGTGCACATGATATTTTTTTGCATTTCACATAAGTCCTCGCCTTGTTTCCAAACATTTCCACGCAAGTTTTTTGTAGCATTTGAACTTCATACTTTATTCGCACATTTACATCGTCTCCATCTCTTTCACCTTAACCCCTTTCGCTTTTTCGGCGTCTAGTCTCGCCCATAAATTCGAGAAAAGTTCAAATTGTCCTCTACCTCGTACTGAGTGTGTTTTCTCCTTCACGCATGGACTTGCATATTAACACCGAAAATTTCCCTTTTCAGGTCGCGAACCAAACCTCGAAGAATCTGAAGTTGCCCAGTTGATTAGGCAGTCTCTGGAAGCTGACCGGGCACGAATCGTCAACGACGACGGAGAAGAAAGCCAACCTGAAGAGAGTGAACCTCCAACCTCGCGAAGCATGGATGAAGCTGAGATTAGGGCAAGTTTAGAGTTTTGGCGTCTTTCCAGCTCTTGATCTGTGCTTTTCAGGCAAAGATAGCAGCGTTAGAACTGGAATTGGAAATGTCGCAGAAGAAAGCTGATCAAATGCATGAAGTATTGGATAGCACAAAATCGCATTATGATCAGCTTGAGAAGAAATATGATCAGGCCAATCAGCTTTTGAGAAATTATCAGGAAAGGTGAGTTCTGCTGACCTGAAGTGGTCTTATCTTTGAAGACTTTTACCTTTTTTAGAGAAAAGGAGCTCCTATCCCGAGAGGAGAACCATGTAGAACAGTTGAGAGATAAGGATGCCCACTATTCTCATCTTGTAGCTCAACTGAAGGTAATTATTTCAGCTTATTCATTATTTTTTCTTCTAATAGAAAAAGCGCATGAAATTGGTTAGCCTAGAATTTGAAATTTCCCTCTTTCGAATAAATTAAAATGCACATTTTCAGGAACGAATTGAAGAATTGGAGGCGAAACTTGAAGAAATGGACGAACGACGGCAAACTATAGCCAATAACGAACTCAGCGAACTCAGGGATAAATTGAAAGTGAGAAAATTAATACTGCTATCTGGTCGTTCGTAATGAGGTG